TGTGTGTGTGTGTGTGTGTGTGTACTTTAGTAGAATTTAATAGAATCTCATACCACAGGTAGTATTCTTGACTTTGTGTGCCAATCTGTTATTTCACATATAGTTGACATCAGAGGATAGTTTTTGTTCAGTTTAACCAGTGTATCTGTCTTTTAAATGTCTTGGCTGTCATAGACTTTAGGATTTCAGAAAATCCTACTAACTACATAGCCAGATATATAGCTATATTTACTCAAGTTTAAGAATGTTAAGAATGCTTGGCATATCGTATAGTGTGCATTACCTATTTTAAATAAGTGAGTGAATAATGAATTTTGGTTCTTATGATTTTAAACATGGAACTTAAGCATTTGTTTGCATATTATAGAATATATATTTCTCATTTAAATATATGCATTCAAAGTAAATACAAACTTGAAAGCATTCTGAGGACATAATTTGTCTTTCAGTCGTGTGCTGAGGGGCTAGGGATTTGCTGCAATCCTCAAAGATGTACACTGACCGATACATCCGCATGTGGACAAGGAGACTGCTGTAATAACTGCCAAGTAAGAGTTGCTTTATTTATATATAATCCACCTTTAGAAAAGTTACCCATCTCATCCTACTTATATTTTCACAGCCTGCTTTATTCAGTATCATTTGCTTGACTCCATCAGTTTAGGGCAAAAGGAGAAGTGTGCAGGGCCCCTTCAGATGACTGTGACCTCACTGAATACTGCAATGGAACGTCTGCAGAATGCCAGGAAGACTTGTATGTACAGAATGGACATCCATGTGAGAAGAAATGGATCTGCCTGAATGGAAGATGTATGAATGGGTCAAAACAATGTATCACGACATTTGGTGACGGTATTTATTCTGATTTGGTATCTATTTGTGTTTTTCTGAATATAAAACTTAGCAATATATATTAATGTTGATTTGGGTTTCTTTTAAAATATGATTTTAAAAAATATTTGAAAGGGTTATAAAAAAGAAATGCTATGCAAAAGAAAACATGTATTAGTAAATCCTGAATTATTTTTACAGAATATTAAAATAGGAAAGTTTCAAAACCTGGGGTAAAATACAGGATTTTACATTAAATGGATTATAAGTGTAAGTATGCATATGAATAGAATTTAAATTACACATGCAAAGCCACAACTCACATGCACAATTCCCTTAAGATTTCTAAGAAGGACTAAGGAAAATCTCAAAGATGAATCTTGAAATATCAGAAATGATATGTACACCCAGATAAATATATTGAAAAATGACTGGTCTCCTAGAGTTCAAAGATGAAAACCACAGTTTGGAATGTACACACATTTTTCCTGAAGATGGGAGCAAGACCGTTCATTGCCATTTATACCTATATCTGAAGAATGAAGAGAAATTAAAAGCTATCATTGTAAAAAACCTTATCGATCAGTCTTCTCACAACAGGTACTGGGAGTATTAGCAGAGGTTGTAAAGTGATTGTAACCCATAAAATGTGTTGATAATACAATAACGAATGATTCATTGTTTGGGAAAAAAGATACACAGAATTTTAGAAAATTGAAAGTGCCTATCAGAGGAAGTAAGCCTCTTGGAACAACAAAAAGATATTTTCTAAAATAAAGAGAAAAAGGTTATGGAAGAAGGAGAGACAAAGGGGTGGGTGAAGGGAGAGAAGACGAGACATAGGAAGCTATAGAGGGAAGGGAGAAGGAAGGAAAGAAAAAAGACAATGCTGTCACAATGAAAGGTATACTCAGTCACTTGAAAAATAAATGAGCATTTATTTCATAAATACCTAAAAAGGTGTATGCAAAAATAAAATGTAAAAGTATGACTGAGTGCTAAAAGAGATTAAAAGTGAAAATAGAAGAGTAGGTAGTGTACTCATATGATATACTTTTGAAATTCAACTCTGTAAGTACTGGTTGAGAATGATGTCCAGAAGAAGAAATAATAAACCAGTAAAAGAAGAATGAAGCAAGAACAGATGGCATTCATACAAAAAGAAAAGTATAATACATTGTGTATAATATCTTGAGTGCATAGATTTACATTAATTTTTTTAATTGGGGGCTCATGCAACTCATCACAATCCATACATACATCAATTGTATAAAGCACATTTGTACATTTGTTACCCTCATTATTCTTTTTTTAATTATTTTATTGAGGGCTTGTACATTTCTTATCACAGTTCATCCATCCATCCATTGCATCAAGCACCTATGTACACCTGTTGCCCTCATCAATCTCAAAACATTTGCTCTCTACTTTGGCCCTCAATATCATTTGCTCGTCCCCCCCCCCATTTCCTGAACCCTTCATAATTCATAGATTATTATAGATTTGTCATAAGTTACCCTCTCCGATGTCTCCCTCCGCCCTCTTCTCTGCTGTCCATCCCCCAGGGAGGAGGCTATACTTAGATTCTTGTCATTGGTTCCCCCCTTCTACCCCGCATTCCCTTCACCCTCTAGGCCTCGCCTCTCTCACCGCTGGTCCTGAAGAAGTCATCTATCCAGGGTTCCCTGTGTTTCAAGCAGGTTTTAATGTGCTTTCCTCCAATCATGGCCTCACATTCTTCATATAAACCAGCTTTCTTGATTATTTGCTCAGCATGCAGACTGAATAAGTATGATAAGAGGATACAACCCTGATAACACCTTTCCTTATTTTAAACCAAGATGTATTCCTGTTCACTCAGCCACCCCTGAGTTCATGTACAAGTTCCATATAAGCACAATGAATCATTCTAGATTTCTTATCTGTTTCAAAGTTATCCGTATTTTGTTATGATCCACATATCCAAATGCGTTGTCATGGTCATTGAAGCACAAGTAAATATCTTTCTAGTGTTCTCTGCTTTCAGCCAGAATTCATCTGATATCAGTAATGATACCCCTTGTTCCACGTAACTCTTCTGAAGGTGCTGTTACTACATGATTTCCAGCGGTTTGATGTTAAGATGTAGTTATCTCCAGTGATGAAATTTGATATAAAGTACTAACCTCCATGGTTATATCTGCTATGAACAGCCAATCAACTGAATGGGTGTTTCTCCGGGAATCTAACTTGCTTCATGTATATATGGACATTCTGGCAATGTTCTCTTGTTCTTTGCTGGATCTGGATCCTGCATCCGGCAAGTCATTATTTAATCTCCATCTTTTTAGATTTGAACCAGCAAACTTCTGCATAACCTGCTGATCTGGAAATGGTTAGCTTCTGCAGCTTTTGAATCAGCCGTCTATCAAAACACCTGCCAACCATGTGAATGTATTCCCATGGTGAATGTATTCATTCACCTTCACATCTATGACTTTGTCATTTGACTCATTATTCTTGATGTAATCAGTTTCTGTCATTGTGGGAGTCAGGTGAAACCATTAGCCTATATCGGACCCATGGACTTGTAACTTACCTGCCTCTGCAACCTCTTAAGCCATTTCCTTGAGATAAATATCTTTGTATCTGATATATACAATATATCAATATATTGAGTTGCTTCTCTAGAAATTAGCCTGGCATATCATATTATTCACATAGACACACATGGAGTTCCAAGAGGACATAGCTTTTACCACAAAAAGAACACATTTGTGAAGCTTCCTGTGATCACTACATCAGATTTTGGGAGGAAAGACTACCTTAATTGAATGAAAACATGAAACTATAATGAGGCTGATTGAACACCATGGTATTAGGGACCAAGTAGCAGCACTCCATTGAAACACCAAAGTGGCAGTGGTTGCTATTATGAAAAAGAGCATCTAGCTGTAATCATAATATTCTGACATATGAAATTATGGTTTTGGTTACTTAGGCATGGTATATCTAGTAGACTATCTAGAAACTCTATTAAATATTTACTTGATGTGTACATCAGTTAACATGAAAGTGGAAAAATTCAGGTCAACTGAATAGCTAATTAACTTGACTCACCAGAATAATGGTGTTTCAACCAATTCCAAAACTTCCATACTTGAGACAGTTCACAGAACCGTAAACCCTTTTAAAAAGAGATCAGACCACCTTAATGAAGGACCCAACTACTGTGTGTGTGTGTGTGTGTGTGTGTGTGTATTCCTTCGCCCAGCCTTTTCCAAGCTATCTTTGGCATTTTCAAGAATATCTTGAAAATTGTTCTTACGTTTGAGTCCATTGTTGCAGTCACTGTATGCCTCTTGTCGAGGACCTAGCTCTTTTCACGGCCCCTCTACTTTACAACTGGTCTTGTACATGAGAAGTCTCACATCACCCTTGCTTCTAAGGAGCATTCTGACTCTATTTCTCCAAAGATAGATTTGTTGTTCCAGTTCTTTCTAAAATTCTTTTATTCTAGGTCCATTTCATTCTAAAATTCTTTGCCATCACCACAATTCCAATGCATTAATGCTTCTTTTGTCTGGTTTATTCAATGTCCAACAGCCATATGCATACAAGGAAACTGAAAATACCATGGATTGAGTCACAGTCACCCTACTCCTTAAAGGAACATTTTTGCTTTACCTTCATAATGTAGAGAGGTCATGTGCAGCAAATTTACCAAATGTCATACATCCTTTAATATTTACCAAATGTCTAAATTTTACCAAATGTCATACTGCGGCTTCTCTGATCACTACTTGTAGACCTAGCAAAACAAAATATTTTGATAACTCCAACCTTTTCTCCATTTATCATGATGTTACCAGTTGTGAGGATTTAGGTCTTCTTTACATTGAGTTGTAATCCACACTGAAGGCTGCAGTACTTGATCTTCATCAACAAATGCTTTAATTCTTGCTCACTTTCAGCAAACGGTATCATCTGCAGACCCCAGCTTGTTAATAAGCCTCGCTCCGATCCTGATGCCATCTTCACGAAACTTTATGTAACCCAGTGTCTCGGATTACTAGCTCAACATCTGGATTGAATAAATAGGAGACAATCTAACCCTGTTGCACACTCTTCCTGATTTTAAACCAGGTGGTAGTTTCTTGTTCTGCTTGCACAGCTGCCTATTGATTCGGGAACAGGTTCTACAGAAGCACAGTGATGTGTACTGGGTTCCCAGTCTTCTCCAGGCTATCCATAGTTTCAGAGTCACATGGTCAAATGCTTCCGCATAGTCAGTACAATAAACATAAACACCTTTCTGGTATTCTCTGCTTAAGCCATGATCCATCTGGTGGCAGCAATGACATTCTGTGTTCTATGTCCTCTTCAAAATCTGGCCTAACCCTCTGGGAGCTTCCTGTCAATGTATTGCTGCAACCATTGTTGGGTACTCTTTAGAAAAATTTTACTTGCATGTGATATCAATGAGAGTGTTCTATAATTTCCATATTCTGTTGGGTCACCTTTCTTTTGAATGGGTACAGATATGGTTCTCTTCCAGGCAATTGGCCAAGTAGCTGCCGTCCAAAACCTTGGCAGAAAGGAATGAATACTTTCAGTGCTTCATCCGCTAGCTGAAGCATTTCAATTGGTCTTCCATCAATTTCTGAAGTCTTATTTTTAGATAATATTTTCAGTGCAGCTAGAACTTCTCCCTTAAGTATCACTGGTTATTGCTCACATACCATCTCTTGAAATGGGCGGAAATTGACTTCCTGGTACTGTGATTTTGTGTGTTCCTTCCATCTTCTTTGGATACTTTCAGCATCATTCAATATTTTTCCCATATAATCTTTCAATACTGCAACAGGAGGATTTTTTTTAGTTCTTTCAGTTTAAGATATGCTGATTGTCTTTCATCCTTTTTGGTTTTCAACTCTAGGTCTTTGCACATTTCATTGTAATACCCTACTATGTTACTCAAGCTGCCCTTGGACATTTCCTCTTCAGCTCTTGACTTCATCGTTGTTTCTCTCTGCCTTAAC